TAAGGACAAGACAATGCTAACTTCTGACTCCCAAAAAAATACATTTTTTCATTTGTTCCTGTAAGTTTGAAATTTAAGCCTGAAACCCCTTTAAAGAGGGAATATTCCTAAAAAGTCCATGGACCAGATAACACACTAAGGAAATCAAAGTATAACTACATGATGATCATTGCTTTGCATTTTGTATAATTTTTCCACCATATCTATCTATATTGCTCTTTACAAAAATCTTGTGACAGAACTTTATCATCATCATTATTTTCAAATCTAAGAAAATTAAGGCTCATAGTAGGTAAATGATCTGCCCAAAGTTACATAGCTAGTGACAAAACTTAACCCATTTTCTTATTCTAAATTCTGTTTTATACACTACAGAGTTTCACCAAAAACACATAGAATTTGTTCAACAGCTTACAATAAAATATGCACATATACACTTATTTTTTGTAACGCTGTAAAGGAATTAGGTAGATTTTATCCTTCTCATTTTATAAATATGGCACAGAAGTTGTGACTTTCTCATGGTGACACAGCTACCAAGTAGAACTTTAATACTATCTGAAGAGGGGAAGACTACTGGGTAACCTAAGGAGGTACCACATATCAAGGACAGTTAAGTAATTGACCATTTATAAAACACTAACACAGACAGACAGACAGATAAATATCATCTCCACAGAGAAGGAAAAAAGGAAAAGCTTGCTGATTTTACAGTTTTGGGGCCCCAGCATGATTCTAGTGGAAAGGGACAGCACAATGAATAAAAACTCATAAAGCAATTCAATATGTGAGTATGTGGTAAAAATACGTTGAAAACATACCCATTTTGAGGTCCTCCATCGTTTATCACATTTAAATGAGATAACTGCTTTTTCAAGTGGAGTTTGTAACTTGCATTAATTCTTAAAAATAACATCTGGAAAAAAAATAAAGTTTCTTAAAGCTCTACTGAAAGAAGACATAAGTATCTTATCAATATCAAATCAGAAAAAAAATTTTAAACCTTTGTTTTGGCATATACTTTTAAAATACTCCTTTGTAAGTATTTTATTGCTATTTCGATACAGTTTTTTTGTCCTTAGTTAAAAGCTCTTTTTCCCCCTTTCAGCAGTACGTCTTTTAGTGATATGGTTTATCCTTGCCTTTCTGTATCTTTAAAGTCCTCTGAGATATGTAAGTGGGATCAACCATGACAGATAAAAAGAACTTTAAAAATGGAGAATTCTGTAATATATTAACTAGGAACTTGATAGAAAAAGCAAAAAAGTCTCAATGGTAGAGGCAAAGATACCTTCAGCCTCCTAAACTGGTAAAATTACTTGAAAGCATTTTATTGCTCCTGCAGACAGACTTGTTGATGTAATGGCCCAATACTTCTTTGGGAAATACCTGACCTAAAATTATATACAATTTTAATCTATGGAAACAGTTTTGTGGAATAACATATTCCCAATTTGTTATTTTTCCTGGTTGTGCCTATTACAGATCACTTAAGCTGATCTAATAAATATTAATGATAAGGCATATTGATCGAGTTACTTTATATGCCATCTCATTATTCTATCATTAATTCCTCCCCTATCCAAATTGGATTATAATCACAGTCAATAACATAATTTATATTCATTGATAAATGCCAACTCTGATTTTCACATTAATAATGTAATGAATGACGTAAATAGAATCTGACAACTCTGATACTCAATGGACAAATGGAATATCTGCTTTTTAGAATTGCTGACCACATAGCAAAACTATTATTGCTCTGACCTGTCAGAGTAAGGGCACTTTGAAATCAGAAAATTTTATCCATGTTCCCTAAGTCAATATAACTGGAAAAAATAATCATATTAGAATATGAACTAAGTTTCATTGTGCCAAAATGTATAAAACATTCCAATTCTACATGCATAGTATATATTATATTAAAAAGTTTTAGAATTGCTACTTACTTGTGTTTGTTCTTCTGGAAGGAGATCAAATATAGCTTCGTGCATTTTTGCCATTTGCTTACAAATATTCCTGAAACAGGCAGAAGGAACGGGAGCTTTCACCTCATACTGGCAGGGAAAAATGAGAATTATGTTCATATCCTCTGGACTGCATACTGTCCCGAGTGTTCCCTAAGTGTTTTCTGCCCCTATATGTCTAACTCTGATAGAGTGCTCAAGCTCACACTTCAATTGTGATCTGAGCTACTTATGCAAATCTCAAGAACTTTTCATTAAACATTCTAATCTACTTTGAGAGAGCCAGCATAACCTTGTGGCTAAGAACATAGGCTGCTTTCCTGAAGATAGATGCTTGGGTTCAAATCCCAGTTCTTAACAGTTCTTAGCTATATGACATTGGACAAGTTACTTTATTTCTGTATCTCAAAGGGCTTTCTGTGAGAAGACTTTAAAAGATGGCTCATAGAAACACTAAACAGTACCTGATACAAAGTAAGTACTCAAAAAATGTTAGTTACTAATCTAGCTCAATACACAATAATGAATCATTACAGTAGGCCCTCTAACAGATTATTTTTTAAACATGATTTTTAAGAATGTGTCAATATAATCATCTCTGAAATCAATATAACTCTGGTAAAATTAAAATGTTCTTTTTCTTTTGTAGGTGGACCAATATAGTAATCATATTTACCCTAAGGTTAAGGGAAGACATTTTCCACAATGATCTATATTGAAAATTTTAGGTAAATTTATTTTACTATTCTTACATCTGGAAAAACATACTGGTACAATATAGATAATCATCTTTTGGCCCATATTTTAAAATTCACAACTTAAATTATATGCCATTTTTATTCACAAGACAAATATGGGCTAAATAATTATATTTTAGATGTACTAATCTTATAGAGTTCATTAAAATGATGAGCTCCAATAAACTGCTATAGCAGGACCATGCAGAAGTCACCATGTGCCTGGACCAAGATAAGCAAAGTTGTAACCACCCAAAGATTTTTCTCTTTTGACCCTAAAAATATATCAAATATCCCCTTATTTTTTTGTTAATAATAGCTATAAGGCATAATTCACATACCATAAAATTTACCCTTTTAAAATGTATAATTAACTGGTTTTTAGTAAACTCATGGTTAAACAATCATCACCGCTAATTTCAGAACATTTTCATCACCCCAAGTAGAAACCCCATATCATTAGTGTGATTCTTTTCCCCACTCCCATTGGCCCTGGCAACCACTAAACTCAATAAATGGAATCACACAATATGTGGCTTTTTGTGACTGGCTTCTTCAATTAGCATAATGCTTTCAAGGTCCATCCATGTTGTAACATGTATCATCAGTACTTCGTCCTTTTTATGCCTGCATGATATTCCATTGTATGAACATACCATAGTTTATCCAATTATCAACAGATGGATGTTTGGGTTATTTCCACTTTTTGGCTATTATGAATAATCATGCTATGAAAATACAGGTTTTTGTATAGACAAACTGTTTCAATTCTCTTGGGTATACACCTAAGAAGTGGAATTACTGGGTCGTATGGCAACCCTATGTTTAACCTTTTCAGGAAATGCCAGAATGTTTCCCAAAGTGGCTGTACCACTTTACAATCCCACCCCATAGTATATGAGGGTTGCAATTTCTCCATATCCTCACCAACACTGTCTTTTTTATTTTTTTGTTACTTTATACTTTTTGTTACTGTCTTTTTTATTTTAGCTATCCCAGTGAGCATCAAGTGTTATCTCATTATGGTAACATCCCCTTAATCTTAACTATCCCCCTGTACTGGATTGAATAGTATTTCCCCAAAATTCATGTCCACTTGGAACTTCATGATTAAATCCACTGACTGGTGTCTTTATAAAAAGAGAGTGAAATTCAGACACAGACACACACACATGGAAGATGGCCACATGAAGACAGTGACTGGAGTGATGCATCTATAATTTAATGCCAACAATTGACAGCAAGCACTGAAAAGTAGAACGATGCAGAGAAGGATTCTTCACTTAGAGCCTTCAGAGGGAGCATAGTCTGGCAATGCTTTGATTTAGGATTACGAGAACTACGAGAGAATAAATTTCTGTTGTTTTAAGTCACTGTGTAGTAATTTGTTATGGCAGCCCTAAGAAACTAGTATAACCCCCAAAACCTTCCATCACCCCTGCTTTCCCTATAGATACTATTCTTTCCATCTTACCTTCATCATCACATTTTTTCAGTCACCTAAACTTGATATTGTAGTACTTTATTCTCATCTCTTAAAATTTGGTTCTTGCCAGCACCCAAACCACCTTCCCCTACTACTAACAATCTTCTGACATTTCTCTACAAAAAATCACTAAAGATGTCCTAACTTCCAAATTTAGTAACTCTTCTAGTTCCCCTTCCTCATTGTTCTGCAGTATTTCGCACACCCTCACACTTGAAACACTATCTTCATGTAGGACAATGTTTTCCTGTTTCCTCTCCTAAACTTCCTTTTCTTCTGTCTCCTGCCTTAAGTGCAAAGCTTCTTCAACATCAATGTCCCTTTTTCTTCCCCTCTTTTCTCTCTAATCAATCTCACGACTCCTAATATATCTCTAATCCTGAACCACTTTACTGAGTTTAAGTCACACATTTTCTAGATGTTCCATTCCATAACTAAGCTGACCATGAATTTTCCCAAACCTGCTCTTCTTACTCATTTCAATTACAACTGCTGGTATTATAACATCCTGGTCACACAGACTTGAAATCTCCAACTCCTTTTCCTCGTTTCCTTGTATTGAATCAGTGACTAAGTCCCATCAAATGTACTTTCAAATTATTTTGCACATTAGTTAGCACATTAGATCAGAGTTCCTCAACCTTTCTCTACACTACTGACATTTTGAGCTATATAATTCTTTGTTATAGGGGCTGCCTGTGTATTGTAGGATGTTCAGCAGCATCTTTGGCCTCTACTCACTAGTTACCATATCATCCCACTACCCTAAAAAGTGACAACCAAAAATTTTCCCAACATTTCTGAATGTCCTTTGGGGGACAAAATTGTCTCAGTTGAGAAATACCACTCTAGGTGAGGCGTTCAATACTTCTCACCTGAAAAAATGTTGTAGCATTTTCACAAGTCCAGATATCAGTTCAACAAACATTTACTAAAACTACCTGGCACATAGTAAGCTCTGAAAAAATATTTTATCAGATGTGTATATGTACACATATGTGTATATATACGTTCACAGGTATATACATATGTATGTGTATGTGTATGCTTGAATGAATGGGTCAGATACTCTGCTAGCTGGAGGGTACAAAGATGAATCAGAGAGAGTCCCTTTGGAGAACTGTCTAAAAGCTAGTTGGTGTTCCTGAAAGTGGACATTGCATGCTACAGAAACATGGGTGAAAGACATTTAGGCAGTAACAGACAGAGATGGCTTCCTGAGCAGCACAACTGAGCTGCTGAGTCTTCAAAGGAAAAAAATTAAGTAAAAGTATTCCAAATAGAGGACATGCCATATCACCTCAAATTCATTCTATATACTATCTGATTAATCTTTCTAAATTGCAATTCTAATCATATGATCTATTAGTTTAAAAACTTTTGGGTTTTGCTTCTGTTTAAAATTTAGAAAGCTACAAGGGTATGTTGCTACTACACTACCCACAGGAAAAAAAGTACAATAGTTTATAAAATCATAACTTTTCTTAAACCCATCAGAGAACAGAGGTCATGGAAACCCAAAAAGTGACAAGGCCCTCTGAAGTCAGACGAGACACAGGAACTATCTCATTTTGGCAGTGCATAGGAAAGAAAGGTGACCACATAGAAGCAAATAAGAAGAAAATAACATTTCAATAAATTCTCAAAGGCCAAATGTGAACCAGGATATGTTTAGAGTAAGTGAGAACTCTACCCATAAGGGGAGTTTGCACTCAGAAGGGCCTTCAGCAGGTACTTATAAACAACATTGGGGTCAAGGCAGGAGACCACAGAGGGTTACTCAGTAACACAGGCAAGCAGGAGGTGGCTGCCACTAGAGAAAAGAACAAATGCCACTCACTTCCTGGAACCCTTCTCTTATAAAAAGCAAAAACCTTAAGTCACTAAGAAGAGGCAGCAAACTCCCATCCCTGGAGCCACTGTGTGAGGAGTAGAAACAAAACATCTCTTCCAGAGGGAAGAAAGAAAAACACCTTAAGTCCAGGATCCTATACCACTCAAAGCAGAGGTGGGCTACACATGGAGGAGGAATGAGAACACTGAGAAGATTCCACATCCAGGAACTCACATTACCTGATTTAAAGACTTACAATAATGCTATAATAATTAAGACAGTGTGTTATTAGTGTAAAGAAAGACATAAAGGTCAATGGAACAGAGTCCAAAAGTAGACTCACACAAAAACAGTCCATTGATTTTCAGCAAAGGTGCCAACAAAGAAAAGATAGTCTTTTCAAGAAAAGGTGCTAGAACTATTAAAAAAAAAGGAATATTGACTCATACTTTGCACTAAAGTTGAACCTTGAACAACACAGGTGTGAACTGAGCAGGTCCACTTATATGTGTATTTTTAAAATCCTGTGTTGTTCAAGGGTCAGCCTATTTGATCCACAGTTAGGAATCACAGATGCGGAGAGCCAACCGTAGTTAAATTTTTGCAGAGTCAGAAGTTACATGTGGATTTTCAACTGCATAGGGGGATGGGCTCCCCTCACCGCTCCCCCCACATTATTCAAAGGTCAACTGTATAAGCAAAATCAACTAGAAATGGATGATAGACTTATATATAAAATCTGAAACAATAAAACTTCTAAAAGAAAGTACTGGAAAATGTCAATTTTGAGTTATACAAAAATTTCTTAGGCTAAGACAAGAAACATGAACAATAAAAGAAAAAATGATAAACTGAAGTTCATCAAAATTAAAAACTGTTCTCTGTAAGACACTGTTAAGAAAATGAAAATATAAGCCATGGACTGGGAGAAAATACTTACAGAACACATATTTGATAAAGGATTTGTATCCAGGGTAATAAGAAGAGAAAAACCACAATTTTTTAAAATGAGCGAAAAATTCGAACACTTTAC